GTTCTAAATTTAGCTTATTTTCCCAAAATGCTGTTGTTCAAAAAGCCATCTGCAACAGGTAAGATGTTTATTGTTCATAACATGAACTATCCATTTACTGAACTTACAGAAATTAATTTAAACATAGGAGCATATCAGTGTTTACGCACCTATAAGGGAAAGTGTTTCTGGTTCTTTTACACGTCCAAAATGTGTTCTAACCCAAAGCAGATGAAGACGTGGCCCACTTTTCCTCACAGATCTCAGCTCAGACTGTAAAGAAGCGTGTGGGCTGGAAATGATCTTTTTATAAAAGATTCTTTCTTAATAATATTGCTGAAATCCTGGGCCCCACGCTGTGATCCTGGGGCACTACCTGATAACACGGTGTCTTCCTTCAAACTGCAGCGACAGAGCATGGAGGACTCTCAAGTGGTAAACAACTTCATACAGACCAAAAATTTCACGTTCAGAAAGAAGGTGGGAATATTTTTCTTTCTTTTAGCTAAAAAAAAACAAACAAAAAAAAACATGGCCGGCATAGCAGTGTAGGTCGAAAATAATAAATGATAAGTTGAAAAACTCTACATCAACAAAAGGAAAGACAAGAGGATATGCAAAACAAAGCGTTAGAATCACTCGACAAAACCTTGAAAGTCACAAATAACCCCTGAAGCAATCACAGAGCCTTGGATATAACATTTGATGTTGTTCACCGTCGCGGTAATGGAAGTGAAAACCTTTCAAGGGTACCTCTTTTTCTCCTCCTGTCTGTGAACAGAATTGCGTCCTTGCATTATACATTCTCCATTCTGCTGAAGATTGAAATAAAACATTCTTTGTCATCAGAAACGTTGCTCATTTTGCAAAGTGACCAAAGCAGGAATAATTATGTGAAAGACAGTGCTCTACAGTAACCACAGATTTTCATTAGCGCTTCAGACAGCAGCATCCAGTGGGGTGGGGGGGTGAGTCTCTGGGCCTGTCTGTATGAACAGTGATGTATCACACAGCCCTGTAAGTCTTAACTGTTCAATTAGGAGTGCTGCTGAGAACCAGCCTGTCAGTGGCAAAGACCAGCAGAGACCTGGGCGAGATCAAGAGATGCTTCCTCAAACACGCTCCAGGAGGCAGGGCCATCAATCTTCCTGGTTCTGACCGGCGGGGTGGCACAGGGGCGCAGGACCCCGCGCCGAAGCCAGGTCTAACTCAGAGGGCAGCGCAGGTACTGTAGGTCCATTCATCCCCATCAACCAGACTAAAAATGTATGAGCTCCTGACCTTCACAGTGGGGAGACGGGGTTGCAGCCTGGACAGAGAGGGGAGGAAATTCTCCTTCTCATCAGCATTTCTTCGAACACCAAACAGAATTAGCTGGGGAAACTGCTGATCCTGGATTTGTTTTGTCCCTCAAGTTGGCATCCCAGTACAGCAGGGGAATTTAGCTGGTTAATGTTGTGAGAAGGGCAACTGCTACTGCATCAGCAGGCATTTTTAAAGTGTTTATGCTCACTTTTTTGTGTGACTACATAAAATAATCTAAGTACTTCACACATGATATCAGTCTGAGTTTGCAGGGTGTTCAGAATAAAACCCACAAAAACAGGATTTCAAAAAAATTAGAATACTGTGAAGACATCAGCCCACACTACTTGTCAGTGTGACGTCTGACTGACTTCTTTAGTTATTTATTTTTGTGGAACCCCAAGCACCAGCTCGCAAACCCCTGGAGGTCCAGGAACCCTAGTTTGAGAACCACTGTTTTATATGATACAAAGTTGCTCCAACTATTCCTGGAAGTCAATAGCCCCCCCCCCCCCCCCCCCATCAATACTCTGTTGTTTTGTTTCTTTATTTCTCATAAACTTAA